TACGTCTCATAGTTTCTTTTATTTTCTTTCTTTTCTCTTACTCTCCGTCTCCCCTTTCTTTTTCTCTCTCTCTTTAAAAACAGTGTCTAACTCTGTATCTCTGCCTGGACTATAGACTAGGCTGGCTTTGAACTCAAGAGTAGCCTGCCTCTGGCTCCTGAGTGTAGGAACTCCAGTATATACCACTATGCTGCTGATGCTGCTCTTCTTCTTCTTTCAACCCTTCTCTATGTAGTGACAAGCTGTGTTTAGACTCAAGGTTCTCCTGTCTCAACCTTCCAAGTGCTAGGATAAAGCATGTGCCACCAAATACATTTTTCCTCCCCTCTCTTCTTTCTTTCTCTCTTTCTCTCTCTCTCTCTCTCTCTCTCTCTCCCTCCCTCCCTCCCTCCCTCCCTCCCTTCCTCTTTCTTTCTTTCTTTCTTTCTTTCTTTCTTTCTTTCTTTCTTTCTTTCTTTCCTCTTTCTTTCTTTCTTTCTTTCTTTCTTTCTTTCTTTCTTTCTTTCTTTCTTTCTTCTATTTATCTGTTTGATACTTTGAGGAAGACATTGCAGTGGCAAAATAACCAAATATACTTTCAAATCTCCATAGACCTAGTGAATAAATTTTTGAGCCAAACCAGGGGACTTTTGAATGTTGGCTTTTAGACGTTAAGAATTTAGAGGATTAAGTGGGTAATAATGGAATATTCATGTAACATTCCCAAGAGACTGCAGAAAGAAAAGCATTAAAATTTTAAAATTTATTCATAAATGTAAATTTTTTCATTCCTTTCCTACTAGTATTAAATTTTGCTCTACTTACTTGTGACAGACTATTATTAGCTATTTTGATAAGAAGTATATCTAATTAAAATCTTTCTTTTGTTTGTTTCAGTACTGGGGATTGAGCCCAGGGCCTCATGCAGACAAGTACTCTACCAGTAAGGTTCATTCCCAACCATAAAATATTATCTTTTAATTTACCAAATAACAAAGATAGTTTATGACCTCATGGAATCAGATCAACAATTTGCCATTTCAAGCATGAAAAATAAACTTGATTCAAATATAATTATAAATTAGTCTTTATTCAGTTCATCTATTTCTTAGAAAAATAGTTCTTTGAAAAAGTAAGATAATTTATGTATGTTCTACAATTCTCTGATGAGACCATTGGGTGATTTTTTCTGCCTGATAGGTGACCTTTTTGCAGTAACCACAAGTATCTTCAGCTTCCCATCAATGGTGCAGCTGACAGTAGCAGGAGGCTCCGTGAGGCTAAGAGCAGAACCCTTCCCTATCAGGCTACTGTAGCGGGCACAGGAGAGGGAGATGTTCATCTAGAGTTGATTGAATAAGTAAACAGCAAAATAGTGATGACATTCAATAAATGAAGTGTTTTAGTTTGGATTGGAGATAATTTTAGTTCTGTCTGCTTTTGTTCAGGAAGATCAAGTGGCTTTCTATAGCCTTATGCCACATCATGTTGCAAACAGTGGAGCCTTCTCTTTATTGAAGGGCCGTGTATGCTACAGCCAGAATTACCAATTGGCAAACATAAGTGCTTAACTTGATTCATAGCTCTTACTACCCCACACATTTGCTACTTTAACATGAAGCCTTCATATTATCAATATTCTTTCTATTTACATAATTTTAGCCATTGAACACCCTTTCCAGTGATATATTAGGATGCTAGGCTTAGAGCCAGATGGTATGTGTGAGGTCAGGGCCCACCACTCACCAGTGACCTGTGCAGAACAGAACAAAGAGCAGACTTCTCCACCTTTACTGATAATTCCAAAAAGTGTTGAGAAAGAACATACCTAAGCTTTTCTCCCCATTTATAATTTCAAGGGAAACTAAATTGTAAAATTTCTGTGGCTAGCATGGGAGTAAGAATGTTAGCAAGACAATATGGAAACAGACCCTGAGCACCAACTCTCTTTTGCTATCAGACCTGGTCTCATCACTGTACTGCTTGCTCATATATTGCTTCAAAGCAGTTGACTGTGTTAGAAGAAGGGCATTTCTAGTGCAATATCTAAAGAACAATTAGGTCAATTTCAGGGATCCACATGGTGTATTGTGGACCTATAGGTCGGTCATTTCTTCTTCTCTCTCCCCCTTTTGTCTTTCACAGTGTTGGGGATTAAGTAGGGTGTCACGCATGCTTGGCAGCTCTTCCACCACTGATCAGTATTCCAGCACTCAATGCATTCCCATGTCTATGCTCTTCTCTTTGAAACTGAAAACATCTTGTGGCAATTTGCACTGGTTGAGAGAGCCAGCAGGAACAACTTAGCCATCTGAGGGGCCATGTTACTTTGAGACCATTCAAATAGTCTTTCTCATTGGTATTTATCTCTGCTCACTGAGCTAGTGGATGGTGAGATGAACTCTTGGAAGCACAACCTTCCAATAGCTCCTTCAGGCAGGCCTTCCTAAACATGGGCGATGATTTCCAAGGGATACTAAAGAGGTATTTGAAGTCATAAGACTGTCAGTTTTACTAGTTGATACACAATATAAAACAGATTCTAAAAATTCTGAAACATATATGCCATGGAGTAAGTTGCAACATGGGCATGAACTTTTAATGTAGAACATAAAAGACTTCAAAAAGAATTCTGTGCTTGATAGATGTATCCAGGTCTCTCCAGACTTACACATTCTCCCCTGAGTTTGATGCTGTTTGCTGAAGTTTAGAAGGGGTTCACAGGTGCATTCTGGGAGATACATTTTTGTGAAACAGCACAGTTAAAGATTTCTAACAGCAAAATGTTCATTTCATTTGTTTTTCCTACTTGAAGACTTTTGTCTCACAGGAACTAGAAAGACTCAAAGGATGAAATTTCCAAGGGATTAAAAACAATTCTTTAAAACATAAAAAACAAACAGCAATCTTCTAAACAAACTTTGAAAATGAAAGGGAGAGACTGTTTAGAAAAAATGCTTCCAGGGAAAACAGCAGAGACTGGGTAAGGGTCCCTATCATAAGCATTATGGGACATGGTTCTCAGTAGAAGGCCTGACAGACATGGAATGTGGGACACTGGTCATATTACAGGGCAATAAGTCCACTTATGAAGCCAGTTGAATAAAAAAAATAGATTCATCAGTAGGTGGCCTTAGAAACTAACTGCTTCATCACACTGTATGAAGAACATGATCCTCGTAACTTACTTGCTATTCATCTAACAATAGATATACCTGCTTGACTTTGTAAAACTATATATAGAAAATTCAAATACTCTAGATTTACAAAAACTGATCAACACTTAGTCTTTAGACACAGAAAGAAGTATTCATAATAAAAATATCAATGATTAATGACCATAAACTCTTAAAGGTTTTGTTTTGAAACAAACATGAAAACCATTAAGAAATCCTGAACACAATGGGACAAAAGAAGTATTTAAAATTAGTCTTAATATCAGGACTGCTTAGATTTTAACTAAAATCAAAATTTGTTTCTTTATCTGAGATTTAATGACCAGATCCTGTTAATTAAGAAATATTAAAGACTTATATTAGATTATAAATATTTGGGGTATTTTTTTCTAAACATTTTTTCTTAGGAAAAAAAAGAACAAAATTGAGATTTTTTTCCCTCTTAAACAATGCACTGTGTAGTTTGTACTGGCAGTTTCCCATTTCCCTGGACATGCTCGAAATGCATTTTGCTGCCGCAAAACCTGAGCATTGCCAGAAAACTAAGAAATCATTAATTTGAGATCTTAAGCAGGCTTAGAAATAATTTGGTCTATGTTTTTACTTGGATGCAAGTGAGATCCCAAGAGGTTGGATTCAAACTGGAGACTGTACAGCTGGTAGCTACTCATCAGTAACTAGAACCTTGATTTCCACAAAACAAGGTGAGTCTGATGGTCCTCCAGTGCCCAGTGCCTCTGGATTTGGTGTTCTCAGTAAGAAAATTCCTGGCGTGACTTTCAGCAAAGAAAGTTCTATTTTAGAGATTCCAGGCTTGGAAACCTGAGAGCTTGTCCAGTTGCTGCAGTTACTTCCAGTGTTCTGACCAGGCTTGGGAAGGATTCAAAGTCTGCAAGAACATCATTCTGGACCTTGTACTGTCATCCTAGGTCTGTACCCTATATTGAAAACTATTTAATGGCCCAGATCTGGCCTCCTAGCATGGTAACTCATGCTGGGACCAGTTTTGTCACTTAAGGGGGCTCTACTTTTAGTTTGCTAAAAATCATTTTATGAAATTTCCATTTTTAACAGATCTTTCTTGTATGTTGGACACCAGAGGAAACTACAGCCATGTTTGGAGTGCCAAAAGACATTGTTTTAAAGGTGATTTCCAAATGTGGATACCAATTAAATCTTTTATTTTATAGTAGAACCTTCTGTACATTTTCATGTTTATGTAAACTGAATTTCTGTAATAGTCTATGACATGATATTTAGTTTATAGGAAAAAGTTCAAGCTTAAATTCCAAATACTTGATATCTGATCATTAAAGCTTACTAATTTCCATAATTTATAAAGAACATCACAATTGTAACAACTAAGCAAAAAAAAGCAAGGGAAAAAAGAAAAATACCCTGTGAATTGTAACCCAAATAAATGAAAATACATATAAACATACCCTCCAAATTGTATCCTAAATAAATAAAAATCCTGTATTCCTTTAAACAAACATAAGAGTTTTATAATCCAAAGCAAGATGCACAAAATGGGTTAAGAAGAGGTTACAATTTTGCAACAGGAAGTCTGGACAGCTCCTCTAGGCAGTAGCTGTGAAGGAAGTACCTGTGTCTCAGAAACGTTGTGTCCACATGGCCAAGACATGTTTACATCCAGGCCTATTTACAAAGTTATACATTTTGTAAGTGGAAGTACCTTACTCCCCATAAGCATGAAGACATGCAACAGTATTTCATCCTTTCATGTGTGAATTCTAAAGTTCATTGGGAGTTAAGAGTTAAAACTGCAGAACCTGCCTACTGTTGGAAATGAACGGAGCAAAAATGTCAGACATGGCCGAGCACTGGGTCCTGAGAGAGTACTTTATTTGCTCCCTACTCAGAACTCAGTTTTGTTTGTTACAAAATGCAGTCTGGACTCTTCATTTAAACAGTACTTAAACTAAACTGTCCATGCCATGCAAAAATAACATTTTATGCACGGGTATTAGGGAGGGGTTTCTCATATTTTAGTTCATGGCATTATTAATCGCATTTTTAAGAAACAAGTTTTTTTTCTTATATTGCTTTTATAACTAGTCACATGCTGGTCTCACGAGTGGGACAGTAACCTGTGTCTCCTGGGTTGGAATGAATTTCTGGGGCAAACAAGTGATTCTCCATCTTGTACCCTTCTTGACTACTGTCCTTTTGGACTTCACCCACAGCCTGGTAAATGTCTTGCCTACAGTTGTGGTCTGTGTTCTGGGGAGAGGAGGAACCCACACAACCCTCTTCTCTTAAAGGGTCTCTGGCATTGCCAGGCTTGTCTGCTAAGCAGTTGGGACTGGGATCTCCTTGCTTGTCTGGTCTTGACCCTTGGAGGTCTAAGAAGTCCTCGTCTTCTCCAGTGTCTATTTCAGTGAAGCTCCTCCTTTCTCTAGAAGAGAAAGAAAATAGTTTTTGCTTGGGAAATCGTGGGGATAGACCTTTGGATGGTCCCTGACAGTGTGTTGAAACATCAGCCCCCGGCAAGGGTCTCTGTCCCTGGGGCAGGGCTTCTTCTAGAAGGATGGTACTCATGTGCTGGGGGGTGGTGAGCGGAAAGTCAGCTGTGGTTACTGGGAGTGGCCTGGCTGTGCTAGGCGGGGTCTGAGGTGCACTGCCTCTGTTTTCCTGAAAGTTCACTTTGAGGGATCTGGACTTGAGGGGGTTGCTCCCTTTCAGCGAGCTCTTAGGGCTGTCGCTGGCACTGTCAGGTTGCAAAGGACCAAGGGAAGCCCCAGCATCGAGGTTCACAGTTATGTCAATTGGTGCATAATCCAGTGCAGCCTCCCTGGCAGCAGTCCCTTTATCTCGGATTAGTGTAAGGAATGGAGGTGCCCTGGCTCTTTGGGGCTCATCCATTCCTGGGAGGTCTGTGGGGAACTTCATCTGCAAATGAGAGGCAGAGGGTGGTGGCAGGGGTGATCTCTCAGTCTCTGTGAAGTCAGTCGCACAGCTGGTGAAGCTGTCAATGCTGGAGGTGCTTTTCATGTCCACGATGACCTCGGTCTGTGCCACAGCCAGCTGCTCCTGTGGGCAGACCACCTCTTCCATTTCTATCTCCTCCTCATATGCAGATGGTCTCTCCGGCTGTTCTTGGCAGTCTGGGTTCGGGTGGGAATGCGGCTGTATCTTGGTGATTTCATTGTACAGCATCTCCAGCTTCTGGGCGCTCAGATGCTGTGGGCTGGTGGAAGAAGTGTTGTTCAGCTGTTCGTGGGAGTCTTTTTGGCTAACCTCCTGGTACTTATTCTCGTAAGACTTGTTGGAGCTTGTTTCCGACAGCGCCTTCCTGGCCCACTTCCACCGGCTTGGAGACAGGTGATTATCATCCGCTGAGTCCTTGGTATTGGCTGACTCTCCAGCCTTCTCCACAGCCACGTCTATCAGTTCCATACTTCTAGCGAAAGCATCCTTTAAGTTCATAGAAACAATGCTTCCATTTCTTTTGGCTCTTTCAAGAGCCTCTCTCCTTTTAATAGCTTTCTCTTGGCGTTTCTGCTCCTTGTAGAACTCAGAGAAATTATTCACAATGATAGGTATAGGAAGGGCAATAACCAGGACTCCTGCAATGCAGCAGAGGCCACCCACAATTTTCCCTAACAGTGTTTTAGGGTAAATGTCACCATAGCCCACAGTGGTCATGGTGATGGTAGCCCACCAAAATGATGCAGGGATACTGGTGAATTTTGTAGCATCCTCATCTTTCTCAGCAAAAAACACCAAGCTGGAAAATATCATTATTCCCATGGCCAAAAATAATATTAATAAACCCAACTCATTGTAACTCCGCCTGAGGGTGAAGCCCAGAGACTGAAGGCCCGTTGAGTGTCTGGCGAGTTTCAGGATCCTAAGGATGCGCATGATTCGGAAGATCTGGACCACACGTCTCACGTTCTGGAACTGCAGCACACTTCTGCTGGACTCCGTGAGGAAGATGGTTACATAGTACGGCAAGATGGCCAGGAGGTCAATGACATTCAGTGGGCCTTTAAAGAATTTCCATTTATTTGGTGAGGACAGGAATCTTAAAAGATACTCCATGGTAAACCAAGCAATGCACACGGCCTCTACGTGTGCCAACTTCCGGTTGTCGCTGGGTTGCTCAAATTCATCCTTTTCTTGCAGCTCCGGAAGTGTGTTGAGAGACAGAGCAATGGTGGAAAGAACGATGAACAGGATAGACACGATGGCCAGGATCTGGAAAGGAGAAGGAGGTCCACATTAGCAAAGCCTCTTTGTTGCTCTGGCAACCATACATGCATTGACCGTTCTTTGAGTGATAGAGAATGCTCTTGGTTATTCCAGAAAGGCTTTACAAAAGTCTTTATAACCTAGAGTTCCCTAAGGAATATGAATACTCTTTATGAGCAATTTTGCTAAACAGCCTCACACACATTTAGATTTCAGTAATTTGACGGAACCTGAGTTCTTACTCTCCACTGTCTGAGGTGTGGGTTATCACCATTTGGAAAGAGCACCATATGGTTGTCATACCTTCTTGGAGGTAATCAGGTGGTCTCTCTTAGAAAGCTCAACCTTTTTTTCATAGTTACCTGGTTTGTGCTGCTTGAGTGAATTGCCTTACATGCTATATAAGATTGGTAGAGAATCTCAAAGCTTTGTTTTTTTATAGCTGTGCACACCAATGCAGAACCCAAATATGAAGGAGTGGCCAGGTAAGATGCCTTCTAAGAACAAACACTTCTCATTGGTCAGCATTGATTTGAGAAGCAATCAGGGATAGTCTTTGTCTGGAATGCAGATTTTTGCTCAACATCACATGGGAGAAGGAGATCATGTGCTAACTTCATGCAGGAAGACTTTTTTTTTCATGAAGAGTCTGAAGAATAGACAGAGATGTCAGTGAAGGACAGACAGATTCCCCAGACTGAGGGAAGGGTAACACAGTGGGAAGAAAGAGGCCAGCATCAGAAAGAAGCAAGAGGAGGATCTAGTGACTGAGTCAGAATCTGCTGCCCAAGCTCTGACATTGGGTATTTTGTTTAGTGTGAGACCTTGGCCAAATTATTTAACCTTTCTGTGTCTTGTTTACAAATATGTTGAATGAGTGCAATGGTCATAACTACTTCCTGGTTGTGTAGCAATTGCATAGGATTCAGACATTGGTAAATAGATAAACGATATTCAGATTGTTGACCCAAGATTTCAGCATAGTGACACCAAGTACCAGAAAGGGAATTTGGGAAATCTATAAGTCCATACAAAATATAGAGAGTGTAAAGGGGAATTTCCTGATTCTCACTTAATATTCTAGATTATGGGGGCATATCAGGAAGATTTGAGTTAGAGAGCAATGTGAGGGTGTATCTATACTTAGAAAAATGGGTACGTTTGGAGTACATAGCTCTTGGAGTAGGAAACACTTTGCCTAGTTTGGGTCAACTGGCTTTTTCTGATCTTTATCTATGTTCTTGCATGGATGAATGTCCATCATAAAGGAGTATCCCTTTGAGCTAAGGCTCTCTAACTTTGACAGATATCATTAGTAACAGGTTTTGTATTTAGCTCTGAGGAAAATAACCAAACAGTGACCGTTTTACATAGAGACTCAGCATCTAGTTAACATTTTCAAGCACAATGATTTGTCTTGAGGCCATAGATCAAAGCTTACTAAACTGTGAAAAAAATTAGTTTGTTTTAGGACTTCAGACTTCTCTTCCCCCTCTTGGTATGTATACATTGTGTTTGTGTGTGTGTGTGTGTGTGTGTGTGTGTGTGAAGGTGCCTACATGCTATGGTGCCCTTTTTTAAAATGCCTTTTGTCTTTCCCCTACAACCAGGTAATGTATTGTTTCTTGAGTGTACCTCAGAATTTCCTTTTTAAAAGGAAATTTAAAGGAAATGTGTTGTGGTCTGAGAACACCCACATTTTTGACCTTTCTTGAGCCAGGTTGCTGGTGTTTTTATGCAGTGTACACTAAACTGGTGGCCTGGAAGATTCTGGGAGACTTCTGTCTCTACTGCCCATTTCCCTGCAGGAGTACTGGGATTACAGATGTTTGTGCTGTGTACCATCTTTCACAGGGCTTCTGCAAACTCAGGTCCTCCAGCTGGCATGACAAGTGGGTTTTCCTATTGTGCCATCTCTCCATCCTGTTTCCTTCCCTTTATGTCTGTAAGCTCCTCTACCTGGGGTTATTCTCCTCTCACTTCCTTCCTCTTATTTCTTCATTTCTATCTTCCATTGTTTCTCTTCCTGTTCTTCTAGCTCCTATTTTTCCTCTGCACTCACTGTAAAAAAGAAACTATAAGAGTAAAAGGCATTTCAGAACATCTTATGGATACTAAATAAAAATGTGTGGCTCTTCAGCTCCAAAAATCGTGCTTTATTAGCAGGATTTTGCCTTCTTTCCCCTAGAATCAGGTAATGTATTGTTTCTTGAGTGTACTTCAGAATTTCCTTTTTCAAAGGTAGGCCTGTTGACCTGGAGATATGGCTTAGTGGTTAAGAACATTTCTGTTCTTGTTCAGGATCTGAGTTCGGCTCTTGGCTCTCATGTCAGGTGTTCCCACTGCCTCTAACTCCAGTTCCAGCTCCAGCTCCAGGGATCTGACATTCCCTTCTGGCTTTAAGAGCACCCCCACACGTGGATACACACACGTACATAAATAAAATAAATCCATAGGGGATGGGAGATGCTGAGAGAACACAACAGGGCTGACACATGTGTTCTCACAGAGAATGGAGCAGCACAAGATTTGCATAGGCTCAAGCCAGTTGGGGTCCCAGTATTGAGAGGGGATCGAGGGCATGAGCTCCCATCCCTAACCAAAAAGCAACCTCCAGTTGACAGCTGGTCTTATGTGGTAGGTATATAAGCCACACTTAAGGGCCCGCCCCATGCCCAGCAATAGAAGGCCAACACGACATGAACTCATTGGTTTTTTTGGAGATTTATTTTTGGTTCATATTGCTTTATTTGGCTGTAAAAAATTTTCATTGACCCTTTACTTATATATTATACTTTCCAATTTTGTATTTTTATGTTTGTGTGTGCTTCTAGTGTTCTTTTTTTTTCTGTTTTGTTTGTCTGTTTTCTAAAGAGAGAGAAAGAATGGAGTTGGGTGGGTAGAGGTTGATGAGAAGGATCAGGGAGGAGACATGGATGGGAAAACTGCAGTCAAAATATACTGCATAAATTTTCAAAATCATTCTATCTGTCAAATGTTCTTTTTAAAAGGCAGTCCAGTGTATCCCAATAGAAGCAGCTGTCTTCACCTACCATAACAGACTCCTGGAGTGGAAAAGCCAGTAAGAATGCCTATTTAGATGAGCCTGAGGATGAAGGACTGTTTACTGGAGGCGAGACAGGAACATTCACATTAAGGCTTTCCTTTATCAGCCAATGGCAGGGCAATTCCTACACTATTCTTTATCTGAAGCTGGTCACCTCTTACCTGTTATCATGCTCTAACACAAGAAACCAGGCTTGCCTGTGCAGTTTTTAGGGGGCACACTCTCATTATCACACTGAGATTTTTCTTTCTTTAAGACAGGATTTCAGTATTCGCCAAAGGCTAGTCCTCAATTCACTATGTAGCCGAGGCTGGCCTCATACTTCTGAACTTCCTGTCTCTGGTTCCCACAGGCATGTGCTACCATACCCAGCTCTGGACATTTTAATATTGGGACTTCTTCTATGATTTTTGTACAGATACCCATACTCTGCATACCCACACTGAATAGCTCCCCAGCTCAATTTCTGTGATGATACTGATATTTGTCAATTTTGAGGGAAGGAAGAAAATCAGAAATGCAAATGAATCCATCTTACTATTTTAAGACTCTCTTTAAAGGTATGGCATCAGGAACCAGCCCCAGGATCTTATACCTGCTAGGCATGTGCTGTACCACTGAGCCATAGCCCTATCTTTCAACCTTTGGACAAAGAATAATAGGTCTTCAGTTTTCCTTGTATTCAAAGCTGTCTTCTTTCTTTCTTTTCTTTCTTTCTCCCTTTCTCCCTTTCTTTCTTTCCTTCTTCCTTCCTTCCTTCCTTCCTTCCTTCCTTCCTTCCTTTCTTTCTTTCTTTCTTTCTTTTTTTCTTTCTTTCTTTATTTCTTTTTTGCAAGATTTATTTCTTTTATACATGTGAGTATACTGTTGCTGTACTCACGTACTATACACACCAGAAGAGGGCATCAGATTCCGGTATAGATGATTGTGAGCCACCATGTGGTTTCTGGGAATTGAACTCAGGACCACTGGAAGAGCAGTCAGAGCTGTAAACTGCTGAGCCATCTCTCCAGCGCACTGTTTGATTTCTTTTTCTTTTTTCTTTTTTTTAACTTTGAAAATTGCATATGAAGTAAATTCTTCACAAATCACCATCTCCCAAAAAACTCTTGGTACATTAAAAATGAAATACAACACCAGCCATGGTGGTCCTTTAATCCCCGCAATCCAGAGGCAGAGGATTCTTTTGAGTTTGAGGCCACCCTGGTCTACAAAGCAAGTTCCAGGACAGGCAGGGCTGTTACAGAGAAGCTTTGCCTCAAAAACAAAACAACGAAAGTCCCGACACTACAGACAAGAGAAAAGTGTCACTATTACAACATTAAAAAAAAAAAAAGCCACAGAAACATCCGACCAGTTTAACCAGGTGAAGAGGACACATCCTTTGTTCCTGCACTGGCCCCACAACCAGCGATTCCGGGTACCTTCCAGGATCACGGTAAGGTAAATCTTAGGTTCCTGGCTGCCCTTCTGACTGCTGGGAATCTGCTAGAACACCCCACAATCAACTCCAAGCTCCAAGAGTCCCGAAGTGCCTGCAGTTTATGTGTCATGTCGGGGAGAACTTAGCACACTCACCCCAACTCCCACACATCCTGTCCCATGACGCGGCACGAACACCCGGCTGCGCACATGGCCACTGCAGCGCTCCCATTGTTTGACTTCTTAATCAAGATTTTTTTAAACCCAGTAATGTTGTGTAATATTAATACAGACTATAATCTAGATGTTGACAACCTGATAAAGATGACTTCGTTTAACACGTGAAAAGTTTGCATACAAATGAGATGGGCCAGAGTTCATCTGTGAAGAAAGGGAATTATTGTAGAGAAACCGAACATTTAAGCTCCTAGCAACATCACACGTACAGCAGGGAAACCAAAGGTCCTGACATGCATTATTTTCTATTTCACGTTGAAGTCAGTTTGCTAGAAACCGT